TTGTTGATGTCACGGGACCAATTTTAACTACAAAACATTTTTTAAAATTGGAAAATAATTCATTTTATGTCAAAATAATTGGCATTGTATAATTTCCCAAAGCACACCTGATGATGTCTTACTAATGTACCACAAGGCACACGGATTTATTCACAAACAAGCTGCCCCTTACTGCTTCTGTTAGTCGGAACAATGAAAACGTGGTCTCACCAGGGGCTCCTTGAGGTCCATCAAGTCCCGGGAAGCCTTTTCCCGGATCACCCGAATTTCCTTTCGGACCCTTTTTGCCTGCTCAGAAAGGTCAACCCCATCAACTACCGCACATCAATTAAAAATGTATTTTCAGAAAACGAGGAAAGACAAACTACTGAGGGCAAACCTCGTTCACCCTGCGCTCCTTTCTCTCCCTCCAGGCCTTGGTCTCCCTGAACACCGCGGGCTCCCTTGGATCCAGCTCTGCCCGCTTTGCCCTACAAGAGACGGAGGGCGGGAAGTGCGTTCATAAATCTAAATCATATCATTGATACTTTTTTGAAGTGAAGATATTCATTTTTAAAAAAAAAATGTCGTCGTGTTTCATATTCATTCAAAATAACACAATATTTCTTAATTCGCTGCCCATCTTTAAAACCCACCCCAAAACTCATTTGTATTCGTCGGCATTTGACTCAGCATGATTCAGATTTGATCTTAGTTTGATTGTATCTACCATCTTTGTGACTGATTTATTGCTTTACTGTTCTGTATGTTAGTTGCTCCATGTACAGCACTTTGTGTGCAGCAATGGCTGTTTGAAAGTGCTCGAGAAATACAGTTGGAGAACAAAATTTCTATATTAAAATTATATTACCGGTAATTGAATAAATAATATAATTGATCATTTAAAAACATTAATTTCAAAACATGTAGTATTTTTATAATGAAGACGGTAAAAAAAAGCAACACGTCGTTCTTTGCAATCTAATATCATGTGTAGTATTTTCCTAAAATGTATTTTCTTTTTATCATGGGTTTGTAATGGCCCCATTTCACGATACCTTTCAAGTATTTATTCATTCTATTTTTTTTCTTAATTTTGTGCGGTTTAATGTATGACATTTGCGGGATAACTTCGATACGATCTCTGAGCCGCTCAAAATGCTAGTAGCGAATTTTGCGATCCATGTCAACTTTGAAATAAAACCTCATACTAAATGCCCTCCTCTCAAATGCATTGGTTGTCAAAATACATACATCAAAAAAGAACTACAACCAAAATATACAATAAATGTATATCCATCCATCCATCCATCCATCCGCCCGTCCGTCATCCTGTATATGTCATGCAGAGCTCAAAACCGGCCGGTCTCACCGTTTTGCCGGCTGGTCCCGCAGGTCCTTTGGCTCCCGGGGGTCCGATGAGCGTGCGGTTGTTGATGGGACATCCTTGCGTGCACTTAGCACGGATGGAGGGGGCGTACTGCGAGAGCTGAGCTGTGACCACGCTGCGGCACAGCTGCAGCACCTGCTCGTCCGACAGCCCGGGACCCTGAAGGCAACATTTGGTCACGTATGCTAACTCCAAACCCCATTTTAACATCTTAATGACAATTCCCGTTTCCAATTTTTTTACCACCCAGAAGTTTTCTGGTCGCCTCTTATTTACGAGCCTTCTGAAATACTCGATATCAAACAGGACTCACGATGGGACCTTGAACTCCTTTGGATCCGGCTTGGCCTCTGGCGCCAGGGTCTCCGAGCGGGCCGCGGTTACCTCGGGTTCCCGGGATGCCGGGAGGACCCGCGGGGCCGGGATTGCCGGTCCGACCGACCGCACCTTTGGGACCACGCTGGGCAGACGAAGGACAAGAGACAATTGTGTGGTGACAACAATGGTTGAAATGGCTCCATGGAATAAACAATACATCAAATATCAGCCAATAAGCTCGTGCGGGCCAAAATTCGGAGGGCTTATCCAGTTGACGAGTCAAAATTACTGTGATGCTTCAAAAAGCAACTCTTGCCCTAAAAAGTTGACTTGAAGTGGAAGTCAACCCCACAAATTTTCTTGACACGAATACGTTCAATGTGCCTCCAACACGGCATTCGGATTAACATCGTGTGAGGAGAGCAGTGTGGGCGGCAGAATATAAAAAACTTCGAGCAGCTTTTCGAACATGATATTCGTCGAACAAAAAAAAAAAATGAATGTCTTTGACTTCTCATTTGGATTTTGTTGAACTTTATAATGAGGAAACCCTTTGTGGCATTAACCCTTTCAGGGACAGCGGTCACTTCAGTGGACGGCTTATCATGTTATCACGTTACAGGGTGCATGAAAGGGTTTAGGGTTTTGTGTGTGTGTGTGTGTGTGTGTGTGTGTGTGTGTGTGTGTGTGTGTGTGTGTTTTATGAGGTCAGTGACAAACACACCTCTCCTTTGTCTCCACGATCGCCAACCGCACCCTGAATGGAGAAACCAGTCACTCAAGAGCGATATGTAAATATGTCAAACGTGCTGAAAATCAGGTTTACCTTTTGTCCTTTTTGGCCCTTTATCCCTTTCCTACCCGTTGCACCCTTGCATTTGAAAATAAAAGAAAATACAATCATTGAGGAACTAATAAGGATGAAGCAAAGCGAGCGGAATTTCCAGCAGGTAGTTGACGCGTAAACAAGAATTACGAGAACGTTGACCGTAAATAGCTCTTGACCGGAGGGTCTGCTCTCACCATGTCGCCGTCCGGCCCGGTCTCGCCTTTGGGCCCCTGCGGAATACAACACACACGCGGAAGTGCACGCACATAAGTTATGTTAGATAATTTGTGTTGAAATTGTGTGGTTGTTAGTGTTGTTTTGTGAAGTGAGTACTCACAAGGGGTCCCTGGAGGCCCATTGGTCCTGGCTTGCCGGGTATCCCGGCATCTCCTTGCTCACCTCCAGGACCCTGATGAAAGGAAGGACCATTTTTTTTTATTCATCTGTGAATATGATGACTAATGACCAAAGTGAAAACAAAGTAAAATGAAGAAAATACAACATTTGGACCAAACTCGTAGTGCACCTACAGAAAGTAAATGTTGAGTTTGGACAAAAATATTCGGGCACTAATCGGTAGGACAAATCGTATGAGAACTTTAACATGTACGAAATGATGCATAAATTCCATAAACAGTAAAGATGCGCTGACTTGGCCTCAGGAATCTAAAATGTGCGCTGCGGCGCTCACTCACCACAGAGCCCAATCTGCCTTGTGGTCCTCGAACGCCGCGCTCGCCTTTGCTGCCCTGCAACGGTCAAAAACAAGCGCGTCAGCCTCGCGCTCAACCTCGGTGAGAGTGCCGAAAAATGGCGGCGTCACCTTGGCGCCGAAGGAACCTGGCTCTCCCATCAGGCCTGGGACACCTATGGGACCCTGAGGAGATCAACGTGAAGATTCAGATGAGAAGCCGATTGAGTAAATTGTACCAGGGTTGAACACATTTTTTTATGGTCAGGAGAATGTAAATGTAAATTGTTCATTTTACACACACGCACGCGTAGCATTAAAAATACATTAAAAAATAAAAACAGACAAAACACATTTTAATTCACTACTTTCAGGGTGAAAAATAAAATCAGCTAATGCAATGCAAATTTGACGGTAGTCTTGGTAATGTAAATGCCTGCCGGTCAGCATATTAAATTTAATGACACACTCACATCTTCTCCGGGGTCGCCATCAATGCCCGGAATGCCGCCAAGACCTTTGGTACCCTGCCAAAGAGATAATATCCTGTGTTTTCATTTGAATTTTTAATGATTGTATAGTAGGAGTCCCTCACTGCACTTAGGTCCCCACGAAGTTAATTATTTGATTCTGTGGGAACTATTTCCGTTTTTTTCCGCGACCAAAAAGATACATGTAAGTGTCAAAAATATTTGAAGGGATTATCCGCCTAACAAGAGCGTTTTGGTTATATTTTTGTCCATTTAAAGTGCGTCCAATGTTCATTTTGGGTGTGATGGCGAAGCAAGTTTGTAAATGAAAGTCAGGGAAGTCAATTGAAAATATGTTTACTGCCATCAACAGATGCGGAGAGTATTTACAAGAAATTCTCCAGTCTGTCTCGGTATCTTTTTTGACGTGATGTGAAACCGACATTCAAAGCTCCCTAAATTCATTTGTGTATATTCAGATCACTTCTTCTAGTGGGTGGTGTGACTAAACGAAAGTGAAATCTCAACTGACACCAATGACAAGCAAACTGGAAAGAGATTCGCGGAATACAAATGTTGGTTATTTAACTTTGAACTGTGTCATCGACGTTTTTTGCCCTCTTTAGTTCACATTCTCTCTCAGAAGTGGTATTTGCCTGACGTTTTGTAAAAAACTGATCCAATGACATTTGCTGTTGTCGGCTTTTAACAATCTTTCGAAAACGTCCAAGGCAAACGTCAGCATAGTGAGCGATCGCCCGACTGGTGAACACCTTTTCTGGGTGATTCACATTTTTGTTAAACAATCGGAAGGCCTCATGGCCCGACGGGCGAATGATGAGGACGCTGCATCGACACAAATCTATCTATTTATCTGTCTGCTACACACATAGACACATACGGTAGAGGTCTCTCTTAGCCAATGGGTTGCCAGGATGATGCTCGGTAATAGCCAATGGCAGAGCAGCTAAATGCATGTTGCGTTCATGAAACTCTGCGCTGCGAGTAGCAGGCCATACTGTATTTTCACCTTTCGTATCTTGAAATTGAAGCAATATTTTCCTGTTGAGGTGTTTCGTAACTTGAAAATTTTGTATGAGGGGACGTTCATAAGTAGAAGTACCAATGTACAGGATATCATTTATTCATACATCTCAACTCAACTCAACTGTATTTATTGAGCACTTTCAAACAGCCGTCGCGGCATACAAAGTGCTGTACACGGAGCAACTATACAACAATAAAGCAACAAATGGTAGAAGGCACCAAACAGTAAAACTAAGATCAAATCTGAGTCATGCTGAGTCAAACGCCAAAGAATACAAGTGGGTTTTGAGGTGGGTTTTAAAGATGGGCAGCGAGGGGGCTTGCCCAATGTTCCGTGGGAGGTCATTCCAGAGAGAGGGACCAGCAACGGAAAAGGCTTGAGCCCCTCTGAGCCTCCATTTAGTTCTTATATCATATTCTGAATTAAACACCTGCAACATTTACAACATGCAATAAATGAGAAGGACAGATAATAAATGTGTACCTTTGGTCCGCTGGGCCCGCGGCCACCTGGCTGGCCATAATAACCCTGAGGAAGACAAACAAGGAAATATTCAGACAAAAATGTTTAAAAAAAAAAAAAAAATGAAGACAAGTACCGGGATTTTAAAAATGTTAAATAGATGCATCCATTAAAAAAATAAAAGATACAGAAACAAAGAACTAAAATGGTGAGGAGGAGTCCCGTAAATGAAGCTGGTTGCAATTTTGAATCTGATTTCATACAGGTGGTTTAAATTAAATTAGACATGGTCAAAACAGAGGATGTGTGCGCGGTGTCCTACATTGTATCCTCTGTCGCCAATGTCTCCTGGGAATCCAGGTGCTCCAGTCTGACCCTGCAGGACGAGAACGTTGAGAACTCAACAGCGACTTCTCCTGGCCAAGAGCTTTTCCATGCCTTCATCATACTTCCTCTGACGTAAACTTCAATCGTTCATTTTCCAATTACCTTGTGTCCATCTGGTCCTTGAACTCCCACTTTGCCCTCTTCACCCACGGAACCCTGGTTAGAAAAAAAACAAAACACACATGATATCATGCATGACAAGTCAAGGTTGAGTTTGCAGTTTTCAAGCTGTTGGCAAGGTTTGAATGCAGCCTCACTTCATCTCCCGCCTTTGCAGCCTTGCGCACACGCCCTGACATTTTTTTCCCCATTAAACACAATCTATTCTAATTTTAAACAAAATATAGAATTTTTTTTCATATATGTCAAGTTTCAAGATATAAATGTTGAAATTCTTTTCAGTTGTAATTCTTTTTATTTTTAGAACAGACCCGTGGGCTATTCATTCGTCCTTAGGGCTAATTATTACCCGTTGGCACAGTTTTTTTTTCTTTTTTTTGTAGGGGGGGGGGAATGCACATTAATCAGAGCTCAACGCATCAATGCCTCCTCTACTCATACTGTAAGTACTTGCTCTCTGCTGGCTCAGAAGGAGAAAAAAAAAGTGAATAGGTGGCTTATTTAATCAACTCTGCAAGCAGCCAGCCATACTTTGTCTTACTTAGAAGTCCCCTCAAACAAATAGAAGAGCTCATTAGCCGAGACAGCTAGTCGACTCGTGGGAGTTCAGGTTTCAAAACAAAATGGGTGAAACCGCAATGAGTGGTTATGCCGCACGTATTAGTCGTTATTGAAAGCTTGACTTTTTAAAACCACGGTAAACCGTCAAAGCAATAATTGGCCCGTGCCTAGTTGACAGGTTGCCTTATTTATGTTTGGAAAGTTCTACATCAGCTTTTTACCTTGGGACCTTTGCCTCCTCTTGATCCCGGGGAGCCAGCATCACCGCGAGAACCCTAAGAAAACCAAATAACAACCTTTGACTTTGATTTTAAAATCAAATTGATTAATTCTTTCGACTATGTTCCGTACAGTGTTACCGGTTCCCCCGACTCCTCCTCGCGGTCCCTCCATGCCGGAATCGCCCTACAAACAGGAAGCCTCATGTCACCATGTGAGCCCAGACGGTCAGAATTGCGACGCTGCCGTTTATCTAGCGTTCGTGTAGCGCTCCGGCACTTTAAGAAACCCTTCAGGCGACTTTAATCTGTGTTTCGTTACGACAGTATCCCAGCGAGAATGATGCACAGTGAACATTTTCGGGGGGGTTCAGATGCCCTTGAACGGACCTTGTGCTTGTGTAGTCAACTTGATCGTTCAATGTACAGAGCTGATTCTTTCACTTGTTGAACCCTTTCAGGGACAGCGGTTACTACAGTGGACAGCTTATCATGTTATCAGATTACAGTGTAAAAGGGTTCAAATGAGTCACCGTACCGCCCAAATAAATAAACTATACTGTAAAAATATTCAGAGTCCCTTCCTTGAGTCGTTCCCATATTTTGGTGGGAGGATTTGGGAAGGAGTCCCATTGGGGATTCCCTCTTTTGAACGTCTAGTCAATGGCAGTTAGGTGTTGGAAGGGCGTGATTGTGACAAACAGCACCGCAACCGAAACGCAGTGCTTGAGAAAATAACGAACTGCCTGTTTTCACTTTCTGAATGAGTTCATGGGCGACCACAAATTTTGACTGGAAAAGGCAGAAACCAGCAAGAACCAGTTCAAACCGTCAACTGTTGATGGTATTGGTTATCTCGAAAAACGGTTAGACTTCCCCCACCCACTAGACCAGAGAGTGGGCGTTTGGGAATGTCAATCAAGAAACAAAGCGGTGCTATCGGGGCTCATTCAGCATGAAGCCAAACCCTGCCAGCCTTACAAGATGAAAGAGAAAAGTGTCCTGTAATTTCCTGGAAGCCTGTTCCAGTTGTGATTCCCTATTTTATTTATTTATTTATTTGTGTGGAACCTAACTCAGTTATTTGAGAAAAAAAAATCCTGCCTTTTTGCATACATTTGCGGTCTTTACGTAACATTCTGTATTTGGAGCTCATACTGTATATATAAGACTGATAGAAGCAATCCGACACATTATGGATTGGTGTAAGTTTCTTTCACAATTCACAGTGAGGCTTGGTCTGTTCGCGCTGGGTGACAAAACACAAAATGGCCGTGGAACTGAAGTTTGTCCAAGTGAAGCTGCCATACTTCTGCTGCAGGTTGAAAAGTTCCGTGTGCTTTTTGCGTAACCTCATAGAGATCAATGAGTTTTACCTTCAGACCCGGATCTCCGCGCTCACCCCGGTCACCTATAAGTCCTGGTTCTCCCTAGTAAAAAAAAAAAAAAAAAAAAGAACAATGTCAACGTTTATTTAATTAATTTATTCTATGATTTACTCTGTCATATTTGATCACAAACTGGTCTCTTCCTACTCTTTACTCACCATTCCGCCAAAGAAACCCGAACCTCCATCTTCGCCTTCGGGTCCGGGATCACCCTGAAATCAAAGGTCAAACACAGATACAAACAAACAAATCTCCAAGTTTTGCCGTTTCAATTAAAAAATAAATAAATAAATGAAAAAAAAAAAAAAAAGAAGAAAGAGAAGATGAACTGATTTTTTTTTTTTTAGAATGTAATTTAACTTATCATTTGACTTTCCAATCCATTTATTATCAGGTGTGGTTGTCATGGCAATATCATCTTTACGTCTCCATCAGTCATTTTGAGTTCCTCACCACAGGGCCAGCATCTCCTCTTCGGCCTTGTACTCCTTTTGTTCCTTTATAACCCTAAAAACACAACTCGGTGGTTTATGTCTCCACATTTTGTTTTCTTTAGTATGTCATTTGGATTTTTTCATTGGCATGTTAATGATGTTGGAGCGTCACCTCTCTGCCTTGCTGCCCTGGCGCTCCCATTTTACCCTGCATGCCTCGCAAGCCCTGATAGGAAGTGAGGGGACGTGATAAGTCTTCTGATTAACCATTCCAGAAGGCTCTATCAGGACCGTTTTGACTCGTGGGTACCTTGGGCCCAGCGAACCCGGCGAATCCCGGCTCTCCGGGTTCACAGTCGCACTCGGTGGGACCCTCCTCGCCGAGGGCCGCGTCGCCACCAGACTCCTCTGAGGACCCGGCGTCAGGTCCTCGGTGCTGGAACGGAACCTGAAACGGTGACAGGATTGTGACATCTGACATCTTGTTTATTTGACTACGTCGACTGACCGTGTGTGTCTATTGACAATGTATGACAATGGCTACTGATCTTGTCTATGTCTGCTGATATTTCATCCATCCATCCATCCATCCATTTTCTGATTCGATTATCCTCCCAATGTGTGCTGGAGTCTATCCAAACTGTCTTCGGGTAGTCGGCGGGGTAAACCCTGAACTGGTTGCCAGTCAATCACAGGGCACGCATAGACAAACCACCATCCACACCCACACTCACACCTAGGGACAATTTCGAGTGTACAATCAGCCTGCCATGCATGTTTTTACAATGTGAGAGGAAAGGGGAGTACCCGGAGAAAACCCACGCAGGCCCAGGGAGAACACGGAAACTACACACAGGAAGGCCGGAGACGGAATCGAACCCTGCACCTCTGCTGATATTTCTTTTTAGAATTATGAATCGATTGTGGGGATATAGATACCAGTCTCTCGTTTACTTCTCAATATTAAAAAAAAAAAAAATCTAGGTATCAAGAGCATATGAGCCTCTATTTTACTTGCCAACAGGTTTTAAATATTGCTACTGACAATACCACTCTCAGCGTCTGATTCATATAAATTGGTATAAGCCATAAGAGCTTCTAATTTTCTTTTTCTGTTTAATTGGAAGCAATGCCGATATCACCGATACTGGCCTTTATTTTACTTCTTTAATTGTTTGGAAATTTTGTTCCCCGTCCTTATTCTGTATCCGTGTCTGCTGGCCCTACAAGCTACACCACTGCCTTGATGCGCACCCACCTTCCTCCGACCCAGCTTGTCCTCCTTGGCGTAGTGTGACTCCGTGGGGGTGACGTAAGGGTAGGCGTCCTCGGTGATCATGGTGACCTGGGTGGGGGCGGGCCCGTAGGGGTCGTAGTCATCTTCCTCGGGATTCTGGTCCTCGTCGTAGCCATGGGAAGACTCTAGTGGAAATGACGATGTCTGTTAGTGTGAAGTTTCACTCACCAGTGGCAACTCTGCTGCCCCTTTCACACAGAAATCCTGCAAAATAGCCACGTCAGGGCCGTAACAGAAGATTCGGCATTGAACCGCCTTTGGCCATTCAACAGAACCCAGAGAAACATCATACTGAGGCGTAAATTTTAAATTCTGCCTAGCAACAGGCTTAAGAGGCATAACGAGGAAAAATAATGTTAGGAATTCTGTTGATCTGTTTTCAGGAGTCAGCTGTATGAAAAAAAATTAATTTCTGTTTCACAAAGCATTATTAATAGTGCTACATGATTGCTTTTGAAAGTGAAATTCGTTCATAAAAGCACAAGAGTGTACAAGAGTGTTCAGTCAGGCTTATCCTCAGACGGCGGGAAATAATATTTGGTCTAATTTCACATCAATTCCCCTTCCGCATCATCAAAGCACATCTGATTTTGATCCACCTTACAAATCATGTAACCGACCTGGCTGCGGGGGCCTCAAGTGGTCATAGGGGTCCAGGATCGAGCCCTCAAAGGTGTGATCCTCACCTGCACATTTAAGCCACATACACATGATGAGTTGTTTCATCGCATGTATCCAAAACATGATATCCATCAAAGGCATTGGCGCGGACCCGAGTGGTTTCCGGAATATTCTTCCTGGCAGAGAGCGCAGGCGGCGCACAGCAGCAGGACAAGCAGCGTCCGGGGCCAGGATGCCTGGAAACAAATGCATGTCAAATCAACAAGTTATCCCTTATGATTAACCCTGCATTGCAGTGGACAGTTTCTCAGGTTACATGGTTCAGGAAAGGGTTCATGTTGTACCAAATATGGTCTACGTTATTGTGAGAAACATTGGGCAAGACCAAGAGTTTCCTTTCGAATTGATTCAAGGTAAGGAAGAGGAGGAATTGAATACTAGAAAACAACGTGGGAAAAAAACAAGTACAGCAAGGCAACCTACTATCGCAGAATCCCCATCTTGCGATTATTTTTTTTGTTGGTGAGTGTTATTGTTACTATATTTAAAAAAAAAAAAAAAAATCGGAATACTTTTTGTATCAATAATTTCACCCTTAGTTTTACTGAGCTCTTTCCTTCTTTTTCTTTGTAGGCTATCCTGCAAACGGCTCATGTGACGAGCTGGCTGTTCAACTTTCAACCAATCACATCCAGTAAAGGGGCGGGGCTAGTTTGCGTATGAGTGCAAAATGGCAATAAATAAATACATAAATAAATAAAAATTACCAATTCGTTTATCTACTGAAAACATGTGTCTGATTTGTCTTTTTTTTTTGTCTTTAAACATTTAAAAAAAAAATGGATTATAACTCGATTGATTTTTTTAAAATCCGTGATGCATAACGTTTCCGTATTCTTGAACATTTAATTTCTGATGGGAGGAATCATAAGTTAAAAGGCGGAGATATTCACCTTCAATCTTTGTTATTAAAAAAAATAATAATAATTATCCTAAATATAAGCACAAAACCCCTTTTTTACATTGAAGAGTGATTTGGAACCGACACAGATGACCCTACTGGACCCCAAGGCCTGCGAGGTGACAGAATTAAGCAGTCTTCTCGTTTTCTTTTCCATCAAACTTTTGAGATGATGGAATCGGCCCATTTTACTTTGGGTTTTGCATTTTTTTTTCAACCTGAAAATGTTGTTCAAACCACATTCTTTAGCCTACTCGAGCAGTAATTCGCCACCTACAGCATATCTGATATTTAATGTACAAACACATGTTGGCAGGCAGAGAAATAAGCGAACGATCCGATTATGATGTTATAGTTTGCTTTTATGAGCCCATTTTCATACCAGAGAATGTTCCTCTTTGAGTCCCTAATAAAGTGCTCAGAAATTATGTTGAAGAAGATTTTGTTTGTTTTTCAACTATACACGAGTCTGGAAAAAAAATGAGCTAATTAAAAAAAAAAAAAGGAAATTTTGGGGTATTTTGACAATTTTCTGTAATGCTCAAAATTACTTCATTTGGGAATTATGATGTCAGTAGTTTACAGAAAAAAATAAAACCCGAACAAACAGAAGAACTGACCATTGTGCAAATGTGTCTTTTTTCTGCTTGTCATGTATAAAATTGTGAGACAATTTGATGACCATGTGCTGCAAAAGTCGAATTTCTCCTCATCATGGGACTAATAAAGGCTTATTCTATTTAACTGATGGCCATACATACTATAAAAATTCCACATTTAACCCTTTCAGGGACAGCTTATCATGTCATCAGGTTGAAGGGTGCATGGAAGGGTTCAAAAAATTCTCCTGAAAATTGTTCAGTGCAGATTTTGTATCACTTCAAGAAAGAACAATCCAAACGATTCCTTTGTGATCTTTCGCAACCCCGTTTGACCCGTCCTCTCCTCTTTGATGTCCGCCGGGCCATCGCAAGGCCGAATCGTCACGCTCACCTTGTCACTGGAGGCTCCCATGGTGCTGCGCCGATTTAAGTCCTCTCGTAACACTCCACACCGCCGACAGGAACAAAACACCCAAAACAAAGCAGCTGCGATGTCCGGTTCGGTTGGTCCTCACAGCATGGTTCACCCGGGACGGTCGCCCTCCTGGATGCTCGAGTCTTTGGCTCTCTGCAGGAGCCCGTCAGGTTCCCAGGAGGCTGGCGGGACCCTCACTGGCCATTCTCATCCAATACGTCTTCTTCTCAACAGGGTGAGAAATACCTGACGCAGAGTCCAGCATCTGCAAAGTAGGAGAGGACATGAGGGGGGGGTGGAAAGTGTGCAAGCTCGAGGTGATGCGGGCGTTTGCAGCCAGAAGGATAGATCGAGAATAAATACGTCATTGGGAATGCGGGGCATATATTGCAAGTGGAAATTTGCAGGTAAGTTGGAACGTTTTCAACCAAATCATGCAGAAAATGACCTTAAAAATAACTCATTTTAACCCTTTCATGCACCCTGTAAACTGATAACATGATAAGGTGTCCACTGTAGTAACCGCTGTGCCTGAAAGGGTTAATACAATATAGAATGCCATATTCTTGCACGGCATCATTTGCAGCTCTCAGAACTGTCCCAAATGCATACCTGTCAACTCATACGGTTTAGCCATAGTTCATACGGATTTTGTGGTGAATCTTACGTATATGGCCATATCGCACAAATCATACGGGTTCTGAAAATTTCTGTTCCCCCCCAACAGGTAGTTCCATTTGCTTTTGCCCAGAATGGTGCTAGTCTACTCGAATGCTTTCATTTCCGGTAACTTTCCAGTAAATCACGTGGTTCCTAGTTGAAAACAGCAGAGTATTCATTGCATACTTCGGTAGTGTACAAGCAAGTTCTACAAGGAAACA